GAGTGAAAAGCAGTTCAGTAGAGGACAAATCATCTGCAAAGATATCCCAGCTTCAGCTATCATTGATGCAGTAATGAAACAACACAGTTACCTGAAGATCATGGTGAAGAGCAAAGTGCTCAAGAACCAAGCCTTAAGGAACAACCTCTTTGCTCTCAAAACTAGTGGTGAAAGTACCAGCTGAAAATGGCAGCATGTCACAGCTTACAGCAGGAAAAGCATCATGGACCAAACACTTGGCCATTCAAAAAACAGAACACTTCTATTAAAACATATTTAACTAGCAAAACCAAATCCTTAGTACCATCAAGCACAACAGAAGATGACTAAAACTATCCTCTCTGCCCTCAAAAATATCCCCACGCCACACAGAGCATAAACAGCTGACCTCTAAGCACCAAAAGCACCCTTACTTCTGGAGGCACCATCCAGCTTTATAATGTGATTCTCCCTTCCCTTTGCCTAGTTACAGTATGTCATTACTAATCCCACTATTACTGATCCCATGTAGAGAGCACAACAACAACAGCTCAGAGCCTGATAAAGGGAGATAACACACATCCCCTGAAACACAGCATAATTTTCTCAGGGATTTGAGCTTATTTATCAGGCATCTTTATCCTGCTTGGGACACAACTACATCTGCTGTGTATTGCAGATCTGACTTTCGTGCTGAAGTGTGTCTATTGATTGTTACAAGTTCTTACATTTAAATAAAACTCTTTTAGAGCTGTTCTTCCATGTCCTAATTATTGAGCAGACAACAGAGGACATTTCTAAGCAAAAGCACATGATCCTGTCCATACATTATGGATGACAGTTATCACCACTGCCCCAGGTTTTCTTCAGGCAAGGAATCATCCTAATGCAAGGAATCATTCCCACTCCAACATGAAAAGGAGACATATCAAACAGCCTCTTATAAGGCCTTGTAAATCCCTGCTGCTGCATATGAGCACGCACACACGCCCTCTCTAAAAATACCAACACAAAGATGTATCAGGAGTCTACATGCACAAAGAAATTGACAAGTTGCAAAGCTGCAATTGCATAGAAAAAGAGGATATGATGAACTGCTGCATATTCTAAATTCCTTGGGGACACTGAGCAAACAAGATATGTGCAAGAACAAGGAATTCTTCCCTGGTGGAAAGCAAGAAAGTGACTACCAGCAAGATATTAAGCTCACAGCCCCTTTTAACAATCACTACTTGAAATAAAGGACAAAGAATATTCTTCCCCCACAACAGAAAAAAAAGGAAAAGTTGAAAGAGACCCTGAAAGCACAGATAACTTGAGAAAGTTCTAAGAGCAGCCTGCCACAGGCAAAAATCAAGCACCCATGTAAACAAAAAAGGCCAGTAAAAACATGTATGTTGACAGTACTTCCTAAATAGGGGAAAATAGCTGTAGTCTTAACCAAAATTATGCCTTGAGTTAGTGGCCCGTTGCCACCCAGAACCCATCAGCTGAGAATCAGAGAAGCAAGCTGGCTTGGTAAAGATGCTATTCTCATTTATGAAATGCTGATATCAGTATGAAAGTTAATAAAAATGAGCTATGGATGATGATATCCAATTTTGCTTATGTGGTACCCAAGCTGTGCCAGGTTCATTCTAAAATACAGATGAAGATATTTCCTGTCTCCATCAGCACATAATCCAGACCCTGCATGTCTAATGTGGGCAGAAACACATGAAACCTCATTCACAGGCCATCTGAAATGCTCTAAGATAACTCAACATGGCTCTAAAGACTACTCCAGAAGGACCTGGGTATCCCATGGGTCCTGTGCCAGATCTGCTGACCCTGTGCTGTTTCTTCAAATACCCTACAGCATTTGAAAGGGAAATAAATACGTATCCTTACTTTTGCAGCAGAATCATGCCCAGAACGCAGATTAAACAGTGAGCACACAGTTCAAGATTAGCCTTCCAGAGCAAGTTAAGAAACGAGATTTGCTCTCAAATTTCTTTTCCTTCCAGCCAAAAATTCAGCAAGAAGTTGGGAGCCAAGCCCAGGTGGTGTGGAGGGTTCAGAGGTCATGACACAGATTCCCAGCTGAGACTGCACCCTCCCCATCTCTGCATGCTGAAGCCAGTGTTAACTCATTTGGTCCTCAGGATGCTTCTCAGCTGAATGGGCTTGATCAATGTTCAGCAAGGATGTTGGGGGGATATTTACTACTTTCAGCATATGAAGATTTTTGTGTTTGTTTTTCTTTCTTTTTAGCTAGAATAATCTTTGGAAGATCGGAAGTACAGTACAAGAGTAGGCAGGAATATTTACCTTTGCATTAGAGGATTACCTTGGAGCACACTCACAAACCAGAGCCCTGCTGTGCCAGGTGCAGGAGAAAAAACAAGCGACACCACTTCCCCTCCAGGAATCCACTGACTCCCGGCCAAGGCAGGTCATAACCCGCAAGGCGGACAGGACAAGCTGGAGACTAAACATGCAGACGGGTTAAGAGGTATTGGGAGGAGGAGGAAACAATAAGGTGAACAGCATCTAACAAAAGGAAAAAAAATAAATACCAAGAAGAAAAACTCATAGTAGTAAGTGTTCAAATCTATTTCTGATCTTATTCAAAGCATGACAAATATTCTCAAGGGAAATAACAGTTCCTGACACCACACCCACACATCATTATGTGAAAGTTTTAGCATTTTCTGGCTTCTTAAAGCCATTCGAGTTTTAAAGAAACACAACCTGAAAAATTCAAAACAAGATGGAAGATTCCTGTGCTATTTGTGCTTTTGCAGCCCCAGCCAGTCCTCATGTTTCATAGTTATGTCAGCCTAATTTCAGATGTCCACCGCTGGACAAAATGCAAATACTGCTCTAAATGGACGGTTTATGAAGAACATTAAATGAAAGAGATCACTCATTTATCATAGTCATACAGGACTCTTGCATTTCATAGTACTGTTTTAATCATAATAACGATAAAAACAGAAATGATGTTTTGCAACTCAGGAACAAGCTAATGGCAGTGGCACCCTTTGGTAGCAAGCCAGACAGGTTTCAAAAGTTCAGCCCATAATCCTACGAGCTTTACCTTCGTGCAATAACCAGGCAGCAACCGCTTGTACTACAAATTGACCCAGCAGCCCAGCCTATTTCACAGATCACAGGACACCAGAACTTTTAAGTGTCACGTTTCACATCTGTCTGCTACAGCATAACATTTTCAAAAGCAGCTGGTAACAGAAGATGAGATGACCCTTGTCTGCCCACAGCATCTCAACTTCCCACACATCAAATCCCCTCTTTCCATACAACAGCGAGCCCCTCCACCCTTAATGAGTGCCTTATGTACTCAAATGATGTGTTGTGTCCCCTTTACATAGGGACAGGAGAGAAAAAAAGGGGCAGGTGAGAAACCACTCATGGGAGTCATTCCTTGACCTGCCAAGGATACCCACTGCTCCCCAGTATGGGGCCAAGGTGTCCCACAACAGAGCAGGACATCCTCCATTCGTCTCCACCAGCCACCCCACTAAATACAGGAGTCTGGTCCACAGAACCAAGTTACAAGGTATTTGTTGTGTTTTCATCCAGACACATGTCTTTTCATTGAGAAGCGTGTAAAAGAACACCCCAGGGAGCATTCAGAGTTGATATGCTGGAAGCCATCGCTTACAGAAAGTTACCAGCAAGGTTATGTAACACTGGTGTCAGCATGGCTCTGTGCACAGATGAAGCAGACTAAGTGCTTTGCTCCAATTCCATCTACTCCCTGCCACCTGAAAGACCGCAGTTTCAACATGCTGTGCTGAGACTCAAAAACCACTAAAGAAAACAAAACCACTCTTGTAATCTAAAAAGGAAGAAGAGAAGTTAATGCACCAAAACAGTATGAATTAAGTTAGATTTTATACCCTATAACTTGCATGTAAATAAAGCTAACTTTATTTTGGCTCTTGTGTTAGCATATAGTCTCTGAATACTTCATCATGGACAAAAATGGAAACAACTTAAAAATCCCATGCACATGATAATAAGCCTTTGCGGCATACTCCCAGAATACATACTCACACATTTGAGTTCTTTGTCAAAAAAAAAAAAAAAAAAAAAAGGTTATAAAACTGGAACTTAGAATTAAACATCAAGTTTTAAAGAGGAATGAAAACCATCATTCTTGTTCGGGTATTTTTGTTTTGATTTTTTTTTGTCTGCAAGGAAATATTAACATCCAAAAGCAAAGGTTAAGTTCCAAGTACAGAAAACAGTGGTTTTTAAAGGTAGAACTACACTAAATCTGAATTGTCTATTGTGCAATTATGTTGAGGTACAATGAGATGCTGCTGAAGGCTAAGAGAAGTAAAAGTAAATGCACTTCGGATAGGACAGAATCTCCTTGCCCTATTGCTCCTCTATCACTAGAGTTCCTTCTTATATGGATCACTTCTGTTCCACTGAGTCACAAAATAAAGCTTCCCATTTTATTTCCTACAAGAAGCGAGAGTAAGACATGCAGAAAAAAAAATATTTAGAACTAGATTCTGGAGTGTTTCCAACTTGTGCCACATGTCTTTCTACAGCAATTAACTATAACCAAATAGCATTCCTTACATTGTACTATTATCTTTTTTTTGTTTTTAATCCAGATATGAATTATTTTTTCCCGATTCATACAGGCAGAGTCTAAGATAATCACATAACACCAACCCTAAATGCAAGATGCTGATTTGGGAATGTGGGGGTTGACTGGGGGAGGATTCCCACTTGCACCCCCGACACTCTTACTCTCCATGCACATACTGCATCAACTCAACAACTCCTGCATGTGCTTTCAGTAATTTGAGCAGGTCAGATTTTGCAAGCACACTCCAGCTCACTTGAAAATAATCCTTTTTGCTTTGGGAAAGCCACCCAAAGTTGTAGCCAGATTTCCTGCCAGGTTAATATGTTCCATGTGGGAGCCCAAATTACCAAGGTTCATGCTTCATGGCACATGTGCCAGCTACATGAGAGCTACAATGTGAAATGCCTGCATACCTTGCAACCCAGTTCAAGTGCAGCACGAGCACACCTTCAGAACAGTGGTAGCTGCAGGGTTTTCAGCACATCCTCAGATATTTCAGAAAGCATTTGTATTTCTGGAACTAACAGTTTTTGATTCAGTCTTAACTTTTAACTCAAGAACTGAAAATTACTTTTTTTTTTTTTTTTTAATTCGAAGTGGGAAATGTGTTGCTGCTGGCACATATCTGGAATCTCTGCTCGATGCTGGCTTTAGCTAACGCCAACCAAGATTCCAGATGGGCTGCTGAGTGTTTTTAGTTTTTAAAAAACATGGCAGCCAATGCACCCATCTGGCTGCATACAGAAGTGATGCAGGAAAAGATCAAGTTCTACCCCTGTAATTGAGGTTGATAAATTGGGCGCTAAAATTGTGCACAGCAGAGAAGAAATATAAATGTATATACAGAGAGATGAGCAAGTACAATTTATCTGCATCATTAGAGTGTTACCATTGAGTGATTGCAACCATGTTATACACACAGAAACTTCAGACTGCTGAATCACTGCTCTTATGTGAATAGGGTTTTTAAACATTTATACTGGTATTTTAATATAGTTTACAGCAAAGACTGCATATTTAAGTGTCTAAAGTTCCTACACAAAGAACAAAGCAGCAGATGGTACAGGTTTCTGAATTTATGCTCCAAGAGAAATCAGGGGTCAAATTATTTTTGTGTTATTGTTGTACCTTGTGTTATTTTCCAACAGTGCTAAGTGAGTGATATTTTTACTTTTTTTTTTTCCATTTTAAGCCTGCTTATATTTACTCTACGTAGCTACAAGCAATTCCAAAAAGAGCCCAGCAGTAGAAAGCACAGAACATCTAGCCAAGAGTACATGAACTCAGTAGCACAACAGATGAAACCAAAGACCTCAAACTATATAGCTTTGTATCCAGAGCTGTAGTTCTCAAGTGTAAACAGATATTTCACATGTGACCATCACAAAAAACACTGCATATTTGCATATATTGTCATTAACACAACCTCTACATACTTCTTCATTGCAAGATATTACAAAATTGTAAGTTTCCAGAAGTAAGTAAAGTGAGGTCTGCAGTAGACAGCAGGCCAGCATCCACTTGCAAAATGCTTAACAAGGTCAGTGGTGGAGTAAGGATGCTCACAGAGTCCTCTAGAAGGTCTCCTCCTGAAGTCCCTGTCCTGACTAAACCCCCAGATTTTCCATTGGTTTCACCAGGAATCACAGAGCAAAAAGCTTTCACATTTTTATTTATTTTTAAATCAAAAGTCACAAGCCTAATTCTATTCCCACGTAACGGTGATGAAGTTACTCCAACTTCAGTAGGAGTTTATCTTCTAATTTAGAGAGGCATAAGCAACAGGGCAAATGAGAATGTCAAAACTCTCAGGAGGAGCACTGATTAAGCGTATTCTTGGAGAGGTCTCTCCGGGTCCGAGTTCACCGTCAAGGCCCATGACTACCAGAATGTCACATTCCTTCAGCTTCTGTGCAGGACGATTGCTGGGTGACAGCTCAAATTACGTGGAGTGTTTGTTCTTCTCCTTTCCTTAAACAGTTCCTTACAACACTGATAGGAAGGAAAAAAAGGAATAGCAACTCAGACAGAAGGAACAAGCCGGAGCCATACTGAAATCCGTGGGAGTTCTGCCATCCAGTCTGATGGGGCCAGAATTTCATGCATTGTCTCATTCTATTAATATTAAAGAAATAACGAGTACAGATTTACCCAAAAGGACATCTCATTCAAATTTGTAGATAACTGGCGTCTTCTAAAGAGACAGATGTTCCCAGAAGCACACGTCCTTTGCATCCTAAAGAACGCAGCCTTATTATGCAGCACCCACTAAAGCATTAACATAGAGTGGTCCTGGTCATACTTTTACCAAGAACTAAATGGTTTTCTCACAAAATTGGTAGCCTGATTTGAGAGAGATTCACATCTATAAGTAAAGGACTGTTTTCTTTATGGCTTTTTAACAAAGTAAAGTGCCAAGAAACAAATGAAATCCTGGATACATTAAATGCAGTAATATTAAAAGGAATTTTTGTTACATCTTCCATCTAATAAACTCTTCATTATTAGGAGTAATACAAAACTTTCCTAGAACCCTTATAATCAGAAGCAAGACAAATATTTGAGTAATAAGTAAAGGTAACATAATGCACTATGATCAACCTGGGAACTCTGCTTTATTAAACGTCTTTTGTTCCCCATTTCACCTCAACTCTAAACAGCAGACCATCATGTCTGTTACCTGCTCTATCTCTACCTGTCTTGTCCTAGAGTTCAGTGAAGGACAGTGGGAATATGTCCTATTGCATTCTGACTTGGTTTTGTTTGTTTGTTCCTTCTTTTAAAGAGTATCGCTTGTTAGCTAGAATCCCAGATTATAGAACAGCCTATATTTAGTACATAGAGACAATGAAATGTTGAGTCTACTGTCATTGTGACAACTGAAAACATCCTGCTTAGCTCTGTCAGACCCAAAACTGTAGAGCTTTGCACAGCTGAAGCTCAACAGCAATATTTAAGTCACGTTAGCAGCCTTCTCAGAGTTCCTCTAGACAAAATGACATTGGAACCCACTGTACTCAGCCAGTTAATTTTTTCTATGTTAATAATATTTTAATATACTTTATCTTCAGCTAGGTCAGGACACTAACAATCCCTCGTAGGTAGATGTTATTTCCAGGAATTTCAGCAGATCTTGGTAAAACATACTTCAGTATCAATATTTATCCAAGATGAAAATGGAATCCATCTGGCATCTCTGGGCCTTCTCCACACTGAGGTCACAAATGGATATGGAGATGCAGATTTTTCTTTTTTAATTGATTTTTAAGTTTCAATAAGCCTTAGCTGCTCATTTGTAAAGCCACCATAGAACGAACGGCAGTTCAAAGGTGAGCTAGTAACATTAAATGAAGCCGGTCCAGAAATAATGGACTTCTGCCCCAAATCATTCCTTTCATTGAGAGGGTACAGTATTGTACATATAACATAACTAAGGGTTAGAGATCACACAAGAAATCTCTGCTGGCACTGGAAACTCATTGCAGCTGCTGCAAACAGCTTAGCTAGTTCTACATAAAAGAAAAAAAAAATCAATAAAGAATTGTGATGAGGTATAATAATTATATTTGTCACCCTGCTCACCTCCCCAACGTGTATGGCAGGAGGAGGTCAGCAAACTCACGAAGGAAGAAATGCTTTGCTCACTGTCTTCTGTGACTGCTCCACATCTCTGAACACCACACTCACATATATGGGAGGTACTGGGAGGATCTCATCACACAGAAGAAATGTAATCATCACTGAAGATAAGCCTTAGAAGACTAAGAACAAAAAGTACAAAAATATTCGAGGCAAATAAACCTACTTAGGTTGATATGTTATGAACACAGGGCCAAGTGACTCAGTTTTGAGAATCTGAATTTGGAAGTTCTGGACCTTCCTTAGAAGAACAACCCAGTTTTTACCCAATTTGAATGTGCAAACTTATCTACGTATACATTTAATTGCATGAAGTCCCATTTTCAAGTGTATTAGCACATTTACTTCTAGGACTCAGACGTGGGGGCATTGATCTCATTTTCATTACACTGCACTGCCACCAAAATCTGAAGTTAACTATGTTAACAGAGGAGATAAATGTTTTCCGCGATATCCTGTGAAGTTTAGACATATTATATATATAGAAGATCAAATTCATTAACAGTTAGTGGGCTACACAATCTTTTGTGAAGCATATATGAATTATGGTGCAATGAAACACAAAGTCAAGCTCCTCAAATAAACATTTGTTAATTGTCTATCAGAACCTGAAATAGTATCAGGCACAAGCTGAGGGCTTTTGGGATGTTCTTAGTTACTCTACCTCAGTACATCTCCAATATATCTCCAGTAGCTAAATCCTGGTTTGATATTCAGAGGGTGAGAGAACAGACTCCTCCATACCAACACTATTAGCACAAAGATCTGCTTTCATTGCCTTCATCCCATTGTCGTCATGATACAGATTGCTTGAGCAGGGAAAGAAAAACTGAAGCAGGAGGGGGATTTTGCTCAGTTACCAGGCAGTTCTCTTTGCTATGGAAATAAAGCAACTGTTTGAGTATGCTGCAGTAGCGTTGGTACTCCATATTAAAGACAAAAATAAAGGATATTAAGTAATTAGTAGCAAAAAGAAAATGTTCTGAATAATGTTCATGGTTTATTATATCCATCTGGTGCAGAAGGCTAACACTGGTAAAGGAGTTTCTTGGTCAGCTCAGCTGCTAGAGGTGCATCCCTCTGCTGCTGGCAGAAGAGCTGCCACTCAGCGCCTGAATAACAAGTCGGAAAAACAAGGGCTTTGTACTCAGGGTGCTCCACAACAGCACTCAATTCTGGTGCTCTGATTGCGAGAGACTCCTCTGCCTGGCCTTTCTCTGCCAGACAATCCCAACATAATCCCCAAAAGGCATCTGTGGAAAACATACAGCCTCCCTTGGGGTAAGCTGAGAAAGGTCCTTACACAAGGGCAGCAAGCACAGAACTGACAAACTGCACAATGAGAAAAACTGAATGAGCAGCATGAGCTCGATTTAACAATGCTTTTACAAATCGGAGACTGAAGAGCTGGAGGCAAAAGAGGCACATATTAGACGACTGGGTCAACACTAGCCTGATAGTGGGCAATTTCACTGTAAGAAAAAGAAATAGGGAGGGCTGCTTTGGAGGTAAGATTTTGTAACATCTGGATCCTGCACTTAAAAAGAACAAAATCCTGAGGAGTGCAAGCACATAAAATTTGTCTACCAGACACATAGAAAGGAAAAGACTTCACACACATCAAGTCCTTTATGTGATTTATCTTTAACTGAGGCTACCAAAGTCATGCATCAAGCCATTCATTCACAACTTCAGGAAGCTCCATATGAAGGGGACTTAGTGACATATTTAATATGGTTACAAAGCCAGATAAGAAACATCAATTCTTCTGTGAGCAAAAACTGTGCCGCAGAGAGTTCACACATACACACACACAAAATCTGAACAATTAGAGTTACTGACATCACTTATAAATTCTGCTATTCATCATCCTAAATGCTACATTTGGGAGCTGGGGGAGGAAGGAGCCTACAACCAGTCAGATTTAATCATAACATCTGCTAAGAACTTCCAACCTTCGATTTCATTCCAACAAGAAGTAACCTTTAAGAAGAACACCACAAAAAGCCACACTGTTCAACAAAATCCACTTGAAATATTTAATGTCAAGACACTGATAAATTTAAGAAAAAAAGGTTGGGATGTTTCAGTATCTGCATAAAGCAGCCGGAGCAAGTTACAGATTTACAGTGTCTGGACAGAGCTGGAGGACGTGGCATTAACAATAAGTAGGATGAATCCAATGTGCTACTTAAATTCAAGAAAGCCTTGATTTTTATTAATTCCTTCTGATTTTAAAGGTTCTGTGCCCACCTAATGCCTGTCAGTACACTAACTGGCTGACTCACCAGGGACACACTACAAACTGGGAAGATGTCATGGTGGGGCCTATTAATAAACCAGCCCAAATACAGGTTGGGCATTATCAACCACAGCAATGAAGGGGCAGAAAGACACAAGGACAACAGAAGTGCAGAACAACTACCCAGGTGGTTACTGTTGCACTAGTCTTACACTGACACTTTGCACATGCTTTTTTTTTCCCCCCAGGCAGAAAAAAAAAAAATCAGCATCTTGGATTGTCCTTGGAGAAAGGGGAGGAAATGGGTTTAAAATTACAGAGGAAGGAAAGGTCTGCAGACTGAGAACAGTTTTTCCCCCTTCTAAAAAAAAAACACACACAAAGAAGAAAGTATACAGTTCAAAAGTTTCATAACAGCTTGAACTCCACAAGCTTCCTTTCAACCCACTGGAAAGGGACATTCCTCTAACTGAAGTCTTTGGCAACAAAGCACCTCCACGATCTGGTCAAATTTCCACTAGACATATCAGGATACAGTGCAAGTATGAATTAATGGTTTTACATGAACATCCATCATAGTAAGTTAGATGGCAACACTTCCTGTCTTGTCTCCAGTTATTTCAGACCAGACGATGCAATCATTAAGTTCCAGGTCACACGCCTTCAACCCAAACACAATGTGTAATGCTACCAGCACCTGGAAACCAACAGAGAACACCTAATGAAGCTACACCAGGTTCATCTCCAAGAGATGTCAGAGGTTTCCTCCCCCCCCACCACCACATTACAATTCCAGTTTAATTTTTGTTCAACAATCTGCTTCACAGACTAAAATATTACACTTAACATTTGACACTAATGTGTTCTAACAAAGTTGACGCATTAAAAGGATTACACATTTACAGATTATTGAGCAGGTTCCTCCTGGATGTCTGCCCAAAAAAATCCTGCAAATGTTCTGGCTCTAGGCTCTCTCGGTTACACCCAGCATTCATCTTGATAGGTTAGTGTAATCAGTTTGCATGCCACAAAATGATCTGAGGCAAGCAATCGGGTGGCTTTTACTAGAAGCCAAGCTGAGTTAGAGAACCTGAATAAATTAAGAAGGAGGTTAAACATCAGCTAATTCTACTCACAACACACTGCTGTTTATTCTGGTGCTTTGTCAATTTAGTAATCCAGCAGAGCCATATATACGACTTATCTTGTATGTGCAAGCAAGAGATGATTAGGAGGAAAAGGAATTTAAATTGTCTGTAATAACAAACCTTGAATACTCTATGAAAAAAAAGGAAGAAAGGAGAAAGTTACCAGGTAAATTTGGGTTGCAAAACTGAAATCGAGGTTTCATGTTCGCTTAGCTGATTTCTAAGCAATAGAAGTTCACATGTTCTGAAGCCAATTTACTGCAGCAGATGTAAGTATTGAAAATGCAGTGAGAGAAAAGAAGTCATGCAGCAGAAGGGACTGCATATAAGCCTCACAAGCCACTGACTGAAAACTCTTAAAGACAGGACTGCAATTCCAAACTAGATTAAGATATATAACAGATCTCCTAAGGGCTTTCTGCATTTCTATACTTGCTATTTCTAACTTTGTGTTAATTTGAACTTCTACTTGCTTGAGGGAAAAACAGGAGTTTTGAAATAAGTCCTTAATCATATCAGGATACCACCACATGTTCCACCAAGAAATAAGTGTTTGCTTTCAAACCTGGTACTTGGGGGGGGGGGGGGGGAAGTATTGTCTTGTGTTAGTAGCTCATATGAGAAAGATTTATGAAACAGTTAAACTCATACACACCCTTCCTGCCTCTCTGGGAAAGGAAGAGTGCATTTATTTATATGTTCCATTCAGAAAGCTGTATTTGAAAGCTATTTTAGGGCTGCAGATTGAAGTGTTCAAGTGGCAACATTAAAGCAATTTGGACAAAAGGGATTTTTTAGCCTGCTATATTTGCATGATACCATGGTCTTGAAACGAATGCTCAAATGTTGTATTTTCAGAAGATCCATGCACCAACCAATGCACAAGAGGAATGGAAGCACATACCACCACACCCTAGACTACCTACAGGTTTTATACCTGTAGGAACAATTATTCTACACTCTGAGCAGAGCACTCCAATGCTTTTTCAAGTTGTGCTGCATTTTAGAAAGCTCATCCTTGACAGATCTCAAGTTCCTGCTTTTCAGGTTAGTTTTATGACCTTATCAGTTGAATTTTGACATACTTGCATATTGCTTGAAAAGGCAAAATTTCTAAAGGATATATCAGGAGGCATGAAGGAGGAATTTAAAAGCCCACTGTTTGATGAGCACTGTGCCTGGAAAACAATTCCTTTGTACAATCAGATGCAGTGAACCTCTCTTTAAACACCAAATGTTTCCTTCTATGCCTCATCGAGTGATCTTAGCAGATCCAATGACCTTGAGTAACCATGTGATTTTCTTTTGTTTCTAAAACATAAGTCCTGATCTGATGACTTGTAAGCCATTGGCATTAGCCTCAGTTCATATGAAAACACCCCAGATCCTGCTTTCCTTGCTTGTTCCATCACTAGCTTTTCACCACATCCTTCCATTTCTAGCATACTGAATCAGCCAGATTAAGAGATGCATTCAGAAACCGAATTGCTAATCACCTGCTTGTACTATTGATCAGCAACTTCTACAACATACTACAGCTGAATGAGAAACAACCCCAGAAATTTAACACCTACAAGCTACATTTAGGCTTTTGGAAGCAGACATCCTCCCCCGCCTCTCCAGTAGTTACCGTTCCCACTGCTCTAGCACAGCAGTTTGAACAGCTGTGCAATGCACCAGACAGATAGGAACAGATCCATCTGGAAAAGCTTGTATTTCTGGAGATTTTGGCACTTCCTTCCAAACGCTGATCAGTGCCCTGACACGGAGACTACTTGTGCTAAGGCATCACAGAAGACTCCACGTAGGGCTAAGAGCAAATTGCCAGTGCTACTCAGAGCTGCAATGCCTCCAGCAAAACCACAGACGTACAGGCTGACAGCCACTACAGAAAGACCATCCATCCA